ATTCTTTGATAGTGTGGAAAAATGCAGTATTCTTGTTGTGGTGAGCTTGCAGATATCGGCATGTTATCTGATACGTGCCTGCAACTAACATTATGTAGGTATTTGAACGTAAGTGGAGACAACAGGGTTTGGGGGGATAGGGCAGGGAGGGCTAGAGATGAGATTATCATTTGGAAATGTTCAGAAAAAAATAGTATAACTTTGGTTGTCCTCTGAAATAATGCAGTTGGAGGAGGGCAGGCAATAAAATATTTTTTTTTTCTCCCCCAAACTTAAATTTTTAATGTTAAAAGCCCCAAATTTAAGTCCTGTATAATTCAGTCTTTTTCTTGAACACAGAGGTAACTGGAAAATTCGTAACTGTGATTAAAAACACGACAAGCAAGCGAAACCATATTTGAAGAAGGGAGGAAGCAGTCTTTACTGAGACTTTTAAGATTACTTTCTCTCACCATTCACTTCATGGAGAAATTTGAAGAAAAAGTTTCAGGAGAATAAAAGTCTTGTAAAAGATTTAGGCTCTCAAGTTGTTTCACTGAGGGGCTGGAAGTATTCCCAACTTATGTCAGACACAGTTCTGCCGAGAAGGGGAAAAAACAGCCCGTTGTTTGTTCCCAGCAGAAAAAGTAACAATTTTAAAAGTAGTTTGTAAGATTTCTCTATAAAAAGAAAGTTTATAAAAAGGTGCAGACTGTTTCTTCCCTATCCCAACCCTAGAAGTAAAATTTTGTTGTTTTTCTTAAACTGCTCTTTTAATCTTCCAGAGACACACTGTTGCACTTATTTTCCTGCTTTTTATTACGGTGCAGCCATTATGTGATAGCTATATTATAGTACATCATTTGTATGTTTTTAAATCTTTTCTGTTTTTTTAATCTCGGACTACTTGACAATGAAACTGCAATGAGTAAATGGTCAAATAGTCAAAGTGCATCTTTCACAGGTGAGCCACATCTGCCACAAACAGAAGAGTTTTCTATTTGAATGGATATTGAGCTCAGGCAATGTGTTGGGTGCTTCCTTATCATCCTAACATCAGAAATGATTTGCGCTTCCTGCTAGATCATGAATGCAAAAAATCCTGAAAAAAGTCAAACAAGATTCAGTCTTGCCAAGTGTATTACTCTGGCACCAGTATTTGGTTTCTCCATGGATGGGTTGTCTGTTCAAACACTCTTGCAACATCTAAATCAAAACTTCAGTGTGATGTCAAAGGTCTTTACAAAGATAGGTAGCATACAAGTTAGTCCAGTATCAACTATTTAGTTGAATTGTACACTGCACATAAATCTCTTCCAGGCTGGCCTGTATTAGAGTGGAGGACTTTCATGTTTGGGCAGACCTCTCACCTGTCTCATGTGGAGTAAGCTAGGATTTCAAGCGATAATCTCATCTCTCCTCTTCTCCAAGGCAGGATCGACTCTATTGATGTCCTTTCTGACAGACGTTTGTCTGACGTGTTCATAAAGACTTCAGAGACTCTTCAGGCAGTCTGCTTCGCTTTTCTAAAGTTTAGGACTAACTGCCATGCCCTAAAATATTTCTGGATTCTGCTCTGTAAGGTGTGTTTAGCAACAGTATAATCAGCAGCAGTCAAAATCAGTATGAACAGTTTGGTGTCAGAGTCTTCTCTCCCAAAGCAGCTCGTGCACTGGATGTTTTTCTCATCTGAAAACACCTTTTCTGGGAATGGAGGGTAGGGTAAACCATTTTACTTGGCCCCTTTGGACTCTTCCTGTTGTCTGTACCATCGTACAAAAACTGTTTATTTTAGTAGGTTTTGTTTTGGCTTGGATGGCTGAAGAAATTTAGACCACTGAAGCCATGCCATACATCACTCCAAGAAAAAGTAATTCTTACCTTAAATTTGTTTCCAGAGTGGTTTTGCTTTGTTTTGGTGGGTTTTTTTTTTTTGTTTTTTTGGTTTTTGTTTTTTTGTGGTTTTTTTTTTTTTTAAATTGTCCACTCTTTTCTTTTCTCAGTCTCTGTAAAGGTGAGCAGGTACGAAGCCAAACCTTACCTTTGATTTAGGGAAAACTCAAAAAATCTCCAAACTATACATGTCCTGGCTACTAGGCTCAAGAATGGTATTACATGGGTAGTCTTTGATTTGACTGTCACTACTTGGCTGAGAAAGTGAAATTAGACTTTCTCCAGGTTTAAAGCTTGCTCATCCAGAATTTAGATGACCTCTTAGCTCCTCTTGTAAAGCACTCTAACGAGGTTTGGCCTGTGTTACAGCTTCAGGGTCGAGTGATTGCCTTGCTCTCCTTCACTTAAATAGGAGTGTTATCACTCATCTTGTATTGCAAGTCAGAGCGATGAATTGTACAGACAGATGGCTTGAGACAGTCAGGTTATTACAATGATAGTCCTTCTATCTGTAGTGCATATGGATTCTGTGAGCTGCCATTCTCTCCTGCTATTTTGATGTCTTTTGCCACCTGGATTCTCAATTGACTGAGGCACAGCTAGGCATCCACAAAGGGTGGTTTTTTTTCTTTCTTGACATATGCAAACCCCACCTCGGTTACAGAAGAACAGACACTGCTTCTGAAAGAAATCTGATTTGTTGTGTGTGGGCATGTGTGCGCCCCAGAAAAGGAATTAATATAGCCAGTATGATTAATGTTGAGTAAATGGTTGTTTACTCTTGGGCTTGACTTAGCATGATTTGTGATGGTATGACGTGGTCTTCTACCCAGCTCCATTCTATTACCCACACTCCTAGTGCTTTTCTTCAATTGTTTGGATTTTTAAATAATCATTTAAAATAATCCTTTAACTTTTATAGGTTGCGAAAAGATCTTTGAAAAATGTGGACGCGGTGCACGTCAATACGGGAAGGACTGTCTCAAATTAGAGAGGGGCTAATAAAGGGATTCTGAGAAACGCATCAAATTCCTGTTCAAGTTTACAAAAGTAGCTCAGTTATCTAATCAAGATAACCTTGAATATTAGTCTTTGTACCTGCTTCACCCCTCTCTGAAGAAGAGGAAGAATGGAATTTATCTCACATCCTACAAGCTGTTCAGGGTGACTGTTCGCTTTTTCACTGTTTGTGTTAATGAGGGAAAGATATTGTAGCTTCCCATTCTTTCAGATGTTTAAACTTAACTCTGGAAACCATTGCTAAAAAACATGGTTGAATGCAGCAAGGTATTCAGCTTTCCTGTGGAGTCACCTGAATACCTGCAGAAACCCTGTTTAGAACTGTGTGTGCAGTCAGAGACTGATTTATTTAGCTCTGATATTTAAGGTTCGTAGAGAGGGGTTTGGGGATTTTGCTTTTAATTTGTGGACCTGTGTAGGTTCTAAAGCTCATAGCCTTCACTGAGTTAAATAGTAAAGACTATGTCTCATTCTCTTGGAGTTACTCATTTATTCATGTTTAATGATCCAAGCATTTCCTTAAGTACATTATTTAAAACGTATTGGATATTTACACATTTACTAGCTTTAAAGTCTTCTTAAGTGTTCCCTCTTTAATGATGAGTTTTTAATGCTCTTGTGTTTAATTCTCTAGCTACGTTTTTCTTTAAAAACACAAGTGGAAGTAAAGCAAGCCAAGCAGACAGTGGCTTTGTAAGACTTCTGCAAAGATGTATGTGAGGAGGGCTTACTCATAGCGTCTACTTTTAGGCGCCTTTGGGAAATCAAATCTTAGAAGGCCAAGTTGGAGGCTGAGGTTCCATACATGTCAAGTGTTGGGTGTTTCTAATTGCTCCCTGGAGACACCTAAATTAGATGTCTGAAAATGGTCTCCATGAATACCCCGTGCTATGTCCCTGTTTGGTGTCTGCCAGCCTTTCAGATATTTCTTCACAGTGGTATGACAAAGGATCATGTTCCTGCCAAGTTTCATTAGAGTATAACAAACTGAGGAAACTAAGTAAAGCGTTTAAGTGTAAACTTTCTGAAAACAAGTAAATTTTTATTTAAAAAAAACTGCATAAATTATACTTCCCATGTGTATAAATATTGTTGACTAGTATTCTTGTAGGAATTCCACTTATTAGCAGTAGATTTTGTCCCTTCTATATTGCTTGGGTTTTTTTCTGCTAGAAACAGACTTTTGTTGTTAATACATTGTGAAACTTCCTCCCGTTTTCAAGCTCATGCGGATTACAAACTCCTAACAAAGTGATGAATGTTTTAAGTGTGATGCACAGCTATTTGTGATGTCAATCCCAGACTATGTTCTTTTTTGCACTGTGTGCATTTCCAACTACAAAACAAAATATGGCTACAGACAATGCAGAAGAGTCTTTTCGGTATCTTAGGAACACAAATAAAAAGCCGTGAAGTTTCCCTTGTTGTGGAACAGAACAGCTGCGTACTTTACATTTTGTAAGATGCATCCGATGTTCCAGTCCAAATTTCAGGCTGAGCAACGTGTGGTACATTCTGAAAAGAACGGCCACGTTAGATGGCAGGAACATGACTGTAAAATACACATTATCTCTGTTTCAGCCTGCGTGCTGGTAGTGACAGGTGCTCAGTGGTTGTCAGCATCCTTGTCAGCACGGAGACTCCTTTGACATTAAAGTCACCGGGCTGGGTCCTGATGCTGTGCAGCTCTATTGGCAGTTCCATCAGGCTGCGGCTGATGGGCGAATGTCAGAGCCTCCACTGTTCTTCTGCTCTGTCGCCAACCCTCTGTGTTTTCGGACCGGCCTTGCCTGTTATTTGAACTTGCCACGCTTCTTCGGCAGCTTTCCTGGGGGAAATGAGCGGATAGGTCATGGGTATGTAGGTATCTTCGGGGCAATGCAAAACCACATCCAAAGTGACTTGCATAAAGGTTTGTAACGATTACCGTGGCTTTAAGCCAATCAATGGGTAGAGTACCCAGGGACTAATTAAGTGGCATTTGCGGTGTCTGTAACAGAGTTTTGAGCTGTATTTCAGGAAATGCGGTGACAGCCTTTAATGTCTAATTGACCTCTTCTCTTTGTTTCACTTTCCATATTTCCTTCTGATGTGTTCCCCCGTGGCAGCAAACAGCCCTGCTCAGCATTCTGAACTTCTGCTCGGAGCTGCAGCACCTCAGCCTGGGCAGCTGCGTCATGGTGAGTGCTCACAGCGTGTCGGGGGGTGTACGTGTGTGTGCACGCTGCCTTTGGAACTCTGTCTGGGCATGTCGTTCACGAAAACGTGTCAAATGCTAGGCTGATACTGTACTATACTCTCTTGAAAGGTCCCAGGTGAATGCAGCTTGGTCATATGCTTAAGGGTTACATACTAGTTTAGTAGACCTAAAACATAGAATCACGGAATGGTTTGATTGGAAGGGACCTTAAAGCCCATCCAGTTCCAACCCCCCTGCCGCGGGTAGGGACACCTTCCACCAGACCAGGTTGCTCACAGCCCCATCCAACCTGGCCTTGAACACTTCCAGGGCTGGGGCACCCGCAGCTTCTCTGGGCAACCTGTGCCACTGCCTCACCACCCTCACCGGGAAGAATTTCTTCCTTATATCTAACCTACATCTTCCCTCTGCCAGTTTAAAGCCATTGCCCCTTGTCCCATCACTCCATGCCCTTGTCAAAAGTCCCTCTCCAGCTTTCTTGTAGCCCCTTTAGGTACTGGCAGGCTGCTAGAAGGTCCCCCTGGAACCTTCTCTTCTCCAAGCTGAA